GGGGGGGGGGGGGGGGGATTTGTTTTTTATGCAAGTATTAAAAACTCTTGCATTACTAATGTCATGGTTTTCTATGCATTACTTATACATAGTATGATACCAAGTATAATATAGTATTAGTTATACATATGTTAAAAAAATGTACCAAACAAAGTATTAGTAATGCAAAGAGCTAATGTTTGCATTATTTCTTCTAATACCTCCTACCAAACGACCCCTAATAGCCTTGGAATGGTTTTCTATACATTACTTATACATAGGATAATACCAAGTATAACCTATAACTAACCCAAGTTAAAAAAATATACTTCCTCCGTTCCAATTTATGTGAACATGTTTGACTGGGCACGGAGTTTAAGAAAAAATAAAGACTTTTTGAATTTGTGGTCCTAAACAAGTCAAAAAGGGGTCCAGAGTATTTGTGTGGTTATAAAAGCTTCTCATTAAGGTAAAATTGAAAGTTTAAGCTAAATTGCTTCCAAAAAAGGGGTCATTATTTTTGGAACGGATCAAAAAATAAATAGGTTCACATAAACTAGAACGAAGGGAGTACCAAATAAGGTACTAATAATGCATAGAGCTAATGCTTATATTATTTTTTCTAATACCTCCTACCAAAGGATCCCTTAATTACTTAGAAGCTGTAAAACTAGCAGTGACTAATAATTAGTGAACTAAACAGTAATAATAAATACTGAAAGCGACGTCAACGAGGACCTGAAACTTTTTGTTCTTTGTGGCTATGGAGATTCATTTCAAATATTCCTTCTAAAGAGTAGCGTAAAACCCTAACGTTCTTCTCGATTTGGCCATTTCCCTCTCCGAAGCTTCTAGAGTTTTCTCGAAACTTCCATGGCGTTCTGGTGGGCGCTGATTGTAATCGTATTCGCATTCGCGATCTGTAAGTTACTGTTGATGCTCATTCCTTCCAATGTCCCTTCCATTGACGTCGACACTTCCGACGGTAAGCCTACGAACAAAACGTCGTCGTATTTTGCATTTTTCACTACTTTCGAATTACTAATTATTGATCAGCTTCAGCTGTAGTGTTGATTTTTTTCTTTTTTTTCTACATGTATTAATGTGTTGGTTTTAATGATATTTTTGGTGTTGTAGTGTTGGACGATGGGAATCACACGAAAGAGAATAGCTTCATTTATGTAAGTAATGAATGAAATGCTTTTTTGCTTTAGTGTTGAATTTTGGTACATTTACTTTATGTTGATTCGAGTTATTGATAGTGTCGAACTATTCCACCGGGTACATCCCACCAGCACAATTACCAGGTAACTCTACCCATCAAAGCTCAGGCAGATGGGAAGGCAAAAAGCACTAGGTGATTTCTTTCTCATCTAAGCCTTGGCAGGAAGAGTTCTACCCGGTACCTGTGCCGGTGGAAGGTAGCATGTACCCTTTCAAATAGTTGAGGTGCGCCAGCTGGCTGGACTCCACCGTCAAATACTAATAATAATAATAGTAGTAGTAGATAGTGTCGAATTGTGTTTTGCTTCATTTTTTTCCCTTTTTATGTTGTTTGAAATATTTTTCATGGTGTGATTTGGTTGAAATGTGGTTAGTTGAGGAGGCAGTAGTGATAGATATTTTACTGTATTGCAGAAAACAATTTGAATTTGGAAGTGTGTTTGGTAGAATGTAAAGCCGTTTCCTGAAAAGTATTCTGTGGAAAGTGTTTCGCATTGACATTAGAAATCATTTTCTATAACACTTTACAATGTTCAATTGGTATATTATAATCATAATATCATACAAGGTGGTGGATAGAGTATGGGGATTGAATTTCCCCAAGGTGGAAGTCTAACGGTCGGGACAACCTTGGGAAGCAAGATTAAAGTCCCAACATAAGCTATAGTAGACGAATTATTCTTATCTGCTTAAGCTTGGTAGCCTGAGTTACACGGTACATGTACCGGTGAGAAATAGAAAGTATCTAATGAATTAACCTAGGTGTGCGCAAGTTGGCCAAAACATCACCTTTAAAAAAAAAAAAAAAAGAATGTGATGATCGTATTTTTGTGGTATTTTTGTAATGGTTGTCAAAAAAACCTGAATGTTGGTTGAAGCAAAAGATATGTAGCAGAATGGGGATATTTTGTGAAAGAAAATGATCTCCGTCAGTAAGTTTCTGAAGTCTATTTTCTTCTTTCGATGGAAATAAGTTTATTCCACAACCATTTTCAAAAATTCAAGATAACTGAACATTGAAAATTATTGGTAAAATATTTCTGTCTTAGCGAACACACAGGGAATATGGGTTTTATGTAATTTACAGCTTGACATCTTACTGAGAGTAGCACTTAGGTCTTAGCGCTTCCAACTCATTTACACTATCAAGAAGGCATTTATCTTTAGGAGAACTACTCAGATGACACAGTTTGAGTTTTAATGTGGTGTGCATGTCTGTGTTGTAAGAACTTTGCCCTCTTACCTTTTGTGGAACTTTATATGGTTCATTCCAC